GAAATCTGTACGTATTTGCGTGATATACGGCCCGGGGCCCAGGGTCAACTGTCGTCCGCTGCTGACTGTTATAACCATACCGGTGAAATAAAATCCCTCACTTCCTGCTCCCATTTATCATGTTGTAAATGTGGAAATGTATTTCGGATTACACACACCTATGTATAAGTATTATATAGCTTCATATCGGAAATTGATTTGACTTCATATTGATAGTCATCATCATAATGTTTTGTATTGGTATATTGTGTGATTGGCGATTACCAAACAGCTTACAACTTAACATTTTGAATCTTGACATTCTAAAAATAGAGTAGATTTTTCACTAAACAGGCATTATCTCCAATTAGCATATCGTTCCATCTGAAATTTAGCAGGAACAATACACCAGCTTAACTCGTGAAACCGTGACGTGTGTTAGAACTCGTTAGAAGTTCGGCACGAGCTGTTCATATTCATACTAAGTGTATGTATGTGTAGCACTACAACTACATTAGAATAGATTGAAGATACGTATATGACAAGAGAGCTGTGTTCGTAAGATAAGAAAAAAGTTTGGTACCTTTTGTTGAGTAACTGTCCTTTGCTTGATAACGTAACCGAAAATTGTGATAATTTTAAGTCCATATGTTTTCCTGATCATCAAAGCGTAACATCGACATATAAGCATAGTTTCTTCAAGAGATATCTATAAAGATTCTTAATAAGATGGACCCATTGATCACAAACGTGGTTTCAAAATTAAATATCTTAATAATATAATACATCATCCCACCCAATTTCGAAGCCCAGAGTCCCTTCGACCAGTAACTACACCAACAAAACCATTTAACCCTTAGGAATTGAACCGCAAATGACAAATACTCCAAAGTCAATACAGCCATTGCAATAACAATACAATAAATGGCTGACATAAACTATCCACAAATCCTGACACCATGGTCTAATCTAAATAATGACATTATTAACCCAACACAGGCTTATAGTAACGACAGAAACTATATCACTAAGAATTTTCTTGTTTACTCCCCAAGATTAGTCTTCCATATTCATGACAAGACTTGGTGGCACTTACTCGTAAAGAATTGCAGCGGTGAACATAAATTATGTATGTAGGCTCGACTCTCTGAGAGTAATGTACGTAGTAAAGTATAAAGTACCTTCGTGAAGTGACCGAGGCGTAGGTACCACGTGGAACACACGAGTAAGTAATATAATAGCGTCACTAAACTATTTGGATGTTATGACTTTGGGGTGATTTTTTGTCTTGCTGACTTTGGAGTAAAATAAATATAATTTTATTTTCAAAGACTTAGACTTTAGATTAGAGTGTACGGTTGGCGCGGTGACTGGGCCTCATTGTCTGATTAAAATGGTTGTTTCGGGTCTGGGTGTCGTGTGTATGTGAAATTCTATGTTTGTAAACACGTCCATGATACAGGAAAAAATCCTAGTATGGGGTAACGTTTACAAAAACGACGATAAAGTAATTTTTTTGTAACTTCAATAAAAGTCAAACGTTACGTTTTTTCTTAGAATGTTTCTAATAATATGACTATTGCTTTTAGCTACAATACAATATTTAAGTACCTATTACAATAAATCGTTAACTTATCATGCCCAATTCACTGAAAACTTAGTAATAGAAAAATATTTACCAAACAAGAACAGTTTCTTCTGAACATATTTATGAATATCATTTTGGAATGAATAACTTTGTATAAAACCTCAAACGAAAAGTTGTGTGAGTGTATCTCGTCAAACAAACTGATTGTAAAAGTTAATATTCAATGTTGGAGTGGCAATTTACACAAGTATTTCATCTGGAAGGCCCAACTGTTAACTAGATGCTTGAATAATGTAGACAGAAAATTCTAGAAGAACACTCCCCAACTTCTGTTAAAGGAAAAGATCATAATGAACAATTGTAAGTATTTTTACGCTTTTTGCCTTGGTCGCTAAAAGTTCTAATTCGATTTAAACTGTCAAACACCAAGCGGTCACCGGTGACCGCGACCTATTGTTCTTTAATTGTGTCTATATAACCGGTACTCGACGAGTTAATTAACTGTCTATTATGAGTGCTTAGTATCTTTGCCTCGGTTTTTGAGCTCTATTCCAATTAATTCTACTAGGTTATTTTTGTCTTAAGCAACTTCTGTAAAAGGCCGTACGCGTGGATCTAACAAATAGCTTCGGCAAATATCGTGTTTGTTAATTTTGACATTTAAATGTGAGGCACAATCGTCTTAAAATATTTATTTATTACTCAATGGACTCGAGTAGAGTTGAAGAATCTAATTTTACGCTGCTCTTTAATTAGACTCCTTGAATTTCAAATAACATAGAACGAATTCTTTCGAGTCGGCATTTCGAAACTAATTAAAGTTTTCATTTTCAGGATAAAAGCGTCTTGTATTACAAAGGATTTGTTCGACAACATCCAAGAAGGCCTACAGGCTCAACGCCTCACACTCACAGCGCACAAAGACGAATAAGTAGGTATTGTTTTGTTTTCAACTGGCGCTCTCGAGGGTATAAATGAGACTCGGCTGGATAATGGGGACATTTCGTCAGCTCTTATAAAACAAAACAGCATTACTTTGGAATACTTTGAAATGTTACACTGATGTACTTCAATTTGCTATGCCTACACGTTTGTCTATGTATCACGTATTCTTTCCTTTCTTTCATGCGAGGTAGAGTAGGTTCCTCGGCTCTATGCCTCGTTTGACTGCGCTAGTACCTCTTGAGACGTGAACAGCAGCCATGTCGTTTAGAAAGTGCAGAAGTAGTAACATGTTACTGGGCCATTAAGTCACTCGCTTCCCTCCATTTACTCTTACGACTTGCGAGGGAAAATAAGCGAATGAACCTCCAGCTCACAAGCTATATATTTCTTTCGAAGCCATCAAAACTTTTATGTTTCTGATGGTAAAATATTCTTGTAAACGAACATTGAAACCAGAACTGAAGAACGATATACCTACTGATAAAACGAACAATTTACATTTCATTACCGAAACATCGAAAATTATGATTGTGAATTAATGAATCGAAATGGAAATACATTTTAACTCGTCGAGTACCGGTTTTATAGACACAATTAAAGAACAATAGGTCGCGGTCACCGGTGACCGCTTGGTGTTTGACAGTTTAAATTATCGTTTTCATTTAGGGAGCGATATTGAAATGTTATCAATCGTGGGTCCGAACGTAATCGGGGCAGGAATCAGTCTCGGAAAGGGACGAAGCGATTCAACTGCCGTTTCTATTACAAGTTAAGCGTAGTTCGCTTATGGAAACATAATGACGCGTCTTCAGATAAATATGTTTACGTATTGCCAATAAATATCTGCCAGCTTATTTATACGGCAAACCATTCGTCGTCATAGGCATTCAACGGAACGCTACATTTCAGACAGTGGGCCTCATTAAGCTTATTTGGAATAGATATTGAAACCGAGCCTTAAGTAAAGTACTTTCTGAGTATCTTGTTACACGCTTTCCCTTCCTTATGATTTATATCCTATTACGCTTATACATTACTGGCTCCTACTTCCGATTTCCATAAACGATTGTATGCGTGTTTTATTAAACATGGTATGTACTCCTATCCTTTACCGTCAACACTTTCTTAAACGAGTTAATGTTGTGTACAAAACGGCACGCCGTATATTTACATTTTCTTATCGGCACGTACATTTATATGTGACGGGGTTGTATCTCGGTAGACGCAGGGTCGAGGGCGCTATCAACGGTAATGGGGGTCTTGGCTGGATTGCCGCCGATTAGACCTAACGGCCCGTGGGAATATTGAAATATATATAGCTCTTTTTGTACATCCACAACTGGCATCTTTAACGAACAATGTAAGGATAATTCAAAGAGATATCTTGAAATCTGACAATAACAGAACCTTTAGTGAATCGCACTTATCTAGTAAAGTACTAATATTACTTATCTTTATGAAAGGCTTTGAGCTTAATGAAGATAAGCCTCTTAAGATTTTTAGGAGTTTCAAAAGTACTGTTTTTCTTTTCGAGAGTGTAATGAAATGGTTGCGTCATCTGCACAGTTCAGGGCTCTGTTTGTCGCTGCTAATTGGCGGGCTCTGTCCGAATTTGTACATTGTTTTTTTTTTGTAAAACATTTACACAGCATGACCTCGTTATATATAGACTTAGACCATAAACTTACACAATGCAGTATCTACTACAAAAGTCTTTCTTTATGACGGAAAAGAATCATGGATCCTGATTTAAGAGAGTAACTAAGTTGTGAAAGCCATTTAAACTTTTCATAATTTTAATCTGTGCTGGCCACTCGTGACGTGCACAAAATAATTTTTAAAAAGTTTTTAAAGAAAAAGTTGGAATAGAATTAACCCAAATTCGAATATTACTTTGAACATTGGAGTTTTATGAGCGTAATATCTATAGCTATTAAATCTTTCTTCTCCTGGCTTATGCCCAACTGGGTTTGGGTCGACACAGAGTTCCAGATTTGGTTAAATAGTGTGTTGTTCGTTTACGTAAATTACAACATTTTCATTGTAATCACGACTAAAACACGTGTAGTTGTGACTCGTCACTAAAAGTCATAGATATTTTTAAAAACCTTTGAAAAATTTATGATTTTTTAAAGCTAGATGACATGCTTTTTTTTTAGGGACAAGCCCGCCACAACCTCCTAAAACCGCTGCAACTCCTGTAAGCCAGGATCTACAGTAGATACAACCATGAAAACACCGGAACACTGAAGTCCGGCGCGTCCCAGGGACATGAGTAACTGTCTTGGTTCCCGCAACGAAGTGAATCAGAAGATATTATAAGAGGAGAAGAAGAAATACTATGGTTTCCACTTCCCTCGGTGAATTACTGCAGGAGACAGAATGAATTAGATGACATGTTTGTGTAATTCATCTAGTATCTACTTGAAATTGCCGCTTAATTATCAACCCCTCGTTCATATCTAATAATTAATAGTCAAATACTGACCTGTGACTAGGTTGGCATGATGGAACTGGCAGACCGCATCAGCCTCGTACCAGGAAATGCGGTCCCTGAAGTAGCGGTAGAAGACAGGGAACCCTTCCTCCGGCAGGACCCATGTGTTGCTGATATTTACCTGTATAGTAAACATTGACACTTAGAAAAATGTTTCGTTTACTGTAATGTAAGTTATTGAATATCATGACAATTAAAATTACCAGAATTATACACTGCGCTTATACGACTTAATTACTGTATACTTCATCGATAACTTCTTCCAGCAAAATGAAGAAATAAACATTCTAACAAAAACTAACAATCATTCAATGCATCATTTTATATCTCTGACTCGAGGACACAGCTGAACAGCGCACAGTAAAAACTGTTGACTTGTTTTCGCGTCGTCCCCTAAACCATTTTTCACAGCGCCTGTCCGCTGCACTCGTCAAGTATTTATCTTATCCGAACAAACATACTATGGCTAACTTTTAAGAAAGAAAACTCAATATCTCAGTCTCCCAACCAATATAAAACTTTATATTATGAATAAAACACACTCAGAACACAATCACATAAAAAGTCAATTCTAAAGAAAAGTTTATGAACCCAGTGTATGACGTCTAAGTTCGTGTATTCGTATTGCCAAGACTTAAGCAATTCCTCCACAAAAGCGTCAATATTTGTTGAGGATTGCAACGAGCGCCATATTAATGAACTTTTCTCGTCGCAACAGTCCTTGCATTGAGAATCTGCTTAACAATAAGTGGATATAAATGTAAACTTTTTCTATTACAACTGTCTACCGCACGTTGTTCAAAATGACTCGAAACAAAGTAATAGTTAAACTACCGTACCGTACATACAAATAAACGCTTCGATGTGATTTTCTCAACTACGATTGTACTTGTTCAAACTTGTTGTGGATAATTTCACCACCCAACGGTCCGCACCGTTGGAGCCACAAATTAGGTGCCTATTATTTAGCCCAAATTAACATTTATTCTCTTCAAATTAGAAGATTCCCTCGCTTTTTAATGAAACGTGAAATCTGACCGCCCTTAAAGGAACTTGTTTCCTTAAAACCTTTGTAGATTTAAAAGCTAATTTCGTTTGTAGTCATCTGTGAAATATCCACGGGTCTCATTATTTGCTTAAAATAAATGGAGACAACGGCCACGTGTTTTTTTATAAATAAACAATGTGTCGACCCTCGATTGTACCCGTTCTATTTTAGTCGTCGATCATTAAAAAGTAAAAAGGAAGATCGTTCTCGTTTTTGCAATCAGTGGAAATATTGATATCGTTTTGCGTATAATATTGTAATAATTGATATTCTGAGGAAGTTAGAGCGTGCGCAGTGAACTTGTAAAGCAGCCCTCGAACAAGCTGTTTCCGATAACTTAATTAACATGCTGAATCCTCAAGTCGTCCATCTGACTTCGTAATTCAAACAAGCGCTCGTTCCCGCCATGTTTATGCGTAGAAATTGTTCAATTCGGTTCAATTATACATGAGTTCAATTGAATTGTCGAATGATGAATGATAAGTAGGTATCATTATCAACTGTATGTTTTGCATCAAATAAAAATTTCATACCTATGTATATGATTTAATAACAATTTATAGTGTTCTTGAACTTTTTACTTTGTATTCAGTAGTTCAGGTGATTTTAATTTATTGTAGCACTAGCATTTCTTATGCGCGATAAACGCAATCTAACTGCCCGGGACTATTCATTATCATTACAAGCCAGAAGTAGAAATAAGGTACCATAAAGTTCTACCCACACCTTCAACAAAATATCTACATACCATAGAATACAACCAACAAAATCCTCAAAGGGCAACATTACAAAAATATGTACCAATCAAAAAAGATTAATAATAAAAATATTCATCAGAAACTGGCTTAATCCTCGACACAAATTCAAAAGTACTTATTTCTTAGTACAAAGCCATTCATTGTATCAAAGTAAAGATGGTTCATTTTCTATTGTTGTGTTCAATGAGTACCAATGTACTTTGTTTTTGGTTTCTCGGCCTTGACGTCTTATCTTTTGTCTTTTACCATCAACTTTATAAATACATTGGGACTTTGCGTTTGACAGGTGGGGCGACGTCAGACGAATTGGAGTTCTATTACTGTACTCTGTGTGGGTGTTTTGCTTTGCTTTATTTGTTGTACACATATGACTCTTTTTTTAAGGGGGGAAAATCATCGCAGGCTGTTCCCGCCTGGGTGAGGCGGGAGGGAGTGTCAGACATTTACTGACTGAAAACCACCCCGTTCCTTCTACTGCACATCAAGCCGTAGCCCCGGTAACCCGTTAGGTTCTCCGCGACTCCGAATCGGCATATATATGACTCTTTGAGTTACTTTCTTGGTTGGTTACCTTTTTTATCATTCACCTAAAATTTCTCCAACATCTACGATATCTTCGCAGCCTTTTCCAAGAAATACCAACAATATCCAAGAGTAATTAAGAAAATACCTAAACGTATCGTATAACTTCTGGTAATTAAATACACCATTATATAACTAGTAAAAGATACTACATTATAACTTTCTCAATTTCAAGACCTCATTCTGAATACTTGAGAAGAATCTTAAACCTTTCCAAATTCTAATTAAATTACGTACGTAGCTAAATAATCCGATACTAAATAACGTATCCCACACATAGCTTCATTGCCTTTACTTTAAATCTTAAATCCCAACCTAAATTAAGCTCTTTCACTCACTAGGAGGCGCTGAATAGCTCTTTCATCCCGATACAGCGGGATAGCGGGATTCTAATTTTATGCAGAACGACTGCGGATTCTCCTACATGAAAGTTCCCTTTCAACCTGTGATCATCTTTTGAATTCCGAAAAACTATTATAACATCAGTCGACGAGTCTAATAACAGTGATTTCTTTCAAAAATAGTTTTTATCTTGGTTTGTTTTGTCTACATTTATAACTATTCAATTCAATGTCTACAAAAAATATTGTGTGTTTTAATATAAAAAGTAGATAAAAATATTTCTAAAGTCTTTTACACTTTGCCAGTTACCATATTACAGTTTTACACTATGACAGTTAACATATTAACGACACCCGTGGGAGGAGTTGGGGTGGTGACTGGTGACTTAAGTATTATAACTCTGACGTCACTATATGGCTTGAATGGCATACGATTTTTTTAAACTGACTACTCTTTCTGCTAGCAACCTCACCCGCCTTCGCATTGGATAAAAGTAGCCGATGTGTGATTCCAGACCACAATCAACCACTACTCCAAATTTCGTCTCTATCCTTTCAGCCGTTTTGACGTGAAGGACGTAACAGACAAACATACAAACTTTCGCATTTATAATATTATGTGGATATGATGCTAAGAGTATGTGGACAGCAAAGCGCACCAATGCATCGATCCTGGCTCAACTTCGGATAAAAATTCGGTTGTCCACCATATGCTAGCAACGTATCCTTTTGTTCTTTGGCCTCACAGCCCGCAGGGGTGGCGGGAACCTGGAGAAGCTGATTGTTGTTAGAAACTCCAAACGCAAGAGATCGCGTGTGCGTTCTCCAACAAGATGGACGGATCAAATAAAAGAGTCGTCTTCAAAATTTTGCACGGCTGTAAGAGACGCACTGGACTGAAAACGCTGGAAGCAGTTCATCCGCTCCAGATGCAATCCTGATGCTGACCACGATCTCAAACATGAGGGAACGACTAAAGAGAGAGAGAGAGTAAGATAGGATATGAGAATAACTACAAGATGAAATCAATACTCTACTTTCAACTGAAGCTTATAACCCAGTTCATTGCAAATCCAATTTGAAAACCCCATAAGCTATCAAATTATTGAATAACAGGATTATGACTCGTGTTAGCAAACACTACTCTAACAAAAGCTTTTCGATAATTAGATGATTTAAATCGAATCAACATAACGACTCGTGCTTCCGACATTGACAACTTTATGTATGTAGCTGCCACGATATCGAATAAATAATGGCGGACGTAAGTATCCTATTTATCTATGTGCAGGGTAATCTGACAACCACATTTATTTTTTGTTATTTTTTCTTTAGGAATATACAAACATGCTAAGTTAAGCCCCATCACTACATAGTATACAAATACAAAACAAAGTAGCTATCCGCCGTCTGTCTGTCCCTATGTATGCTCACATCTTTAAAACTACGGAACGGATTTTGATGCGGTTTTTTTAATAGATGGAGTGATTAAATAAGGTTTATATGTATAATACATGCATATTGCACCCGTGCGAAGCGAGAGCGGGTCGCTAGATTTTTAAAAAATCAAAAAATGTTGTCGGTAGAATCTCTATCGTTACTTGTTTTTCTTTCATTTCAAGCTCGTTTTATGTTTCGAAGTAACAGGAAAACTGAATTGTTTTTAAATAAATTACAAAATATGCAAAATAATCGTACATAAGTGAATACTTAGGTGAGCTCTATATAAATGGAAATTCAAAATATTTATATCAACTTTACATTAAAAAAAAACATTACGATATTTTACAAAAGAGTAATTAACGATAGCATTTTTTTTAAATCACTATATAAATATATAAACTTAAACTCATTTTACTTTTCAACAACTTAAAAAAAACATGTTAATATAAGTCTTATCCAGCGAAAACTTCACAAAGTACCTGTATAACACGAAGATTATATCAAATAGCTCAATTTGGATAAAAAATGGCGTCCATTAAAATAATCGTTACGTCACTGCAAGACGCAAGAACATTAGGCACAAAGGGGTCCCGTGATAACGTTGTGGCAATGCCTAACTTCGGTTTGTTTGTGTATTCAACCGTTAGTAGTTTAAGATGGTACTTAAGACCGTTACATTTGCCCTCGGAACATAATGACGCATATGGAGCAATCCTCTTGATATTAACCCCCGGGGTGAATGAGACCGAGGATTCGCCCAACGGGTTAATGGGAATGAATGCATAATTATATGTTGTATTAATTTTACTTAATGAGCACATTCCTTTGCTAAATATGTGCGAATTAAATGTAGGTACTTGTTTTATTTCGTTTCGGAAGTTGTAAATTGTATTCATTTATTTATCGATCTTGCTTACAAATGTCGTAACATCTGTTAATAAAAAGCTAATGAAAATGTTGTTTAATGTGGATTCAAAATGAATATGTAAAGTATCTTTTCGAATAGAAAAATAATCGTTTAAGAACTAATATTTCTAACAAACTTTTTTGTCAGTTTTATAAAGAATATTATCTACATATTTACTTAGATAAGTTTTGAACTCAATTTTTCATTTACACGGAGCACGGTTCTCATTTGTTATCTTTTTTGAGTCCTGACAAACTTTTTGCTACGTAGCAAAACGTAGATAAAGTACAGAAATATTTCATGCGCCCAAAACTTCTTTTATTGCGGTTTTATACTTTCGGCCTACATTTATTTCTTCGACGATATATTAAAATATAATTGTGGTAAACTATACACTCGTAATACGTTCGTATTGTAAAGAAGAGAAAACTTTTTTACAGGGTTAATAAAAATATTACTTACTAAACGTACGAACAATGTTTTATTTACTTTTCCCAAAAGAAAATTAATATACTCGAAAAGTTCCTCAATCAAAACAAAGAATAACGGAATGAAACTAAAACTTTAACAAACTAACATTTGCAAGACATGAATCTTCATTTGAGTCGGTACTGCGGCACCAAAGTTTTAAAGTAACTGGTGCAAAGTGCCCCCAGTTAGGGGGTTATAAGAATAGAAGCTAAAAACTGATACTTACCGCTCGTCCTTGAGCGGAGGCGAGCAGAGCCAACAACGCGACCGAACACCACAACATTACGTGGTCGCGAACACTCGTAGCAACGCGTAGCGACCGACTGTAGCCGTCGCTCGCCGTAGCGTGACTGCCGCAAGCTACGCGGCTACGAGGCTACGGATGTCGCGTGCCGCGGTACGACCTCTATACTCGGACCTTCGGTCGTAGTACATTGTGTAAACAAAGTATTTGACAATAACATATTGTAACGATCGACCTTTTTGTTTACACCCCACTGTCATTGTAAAGAAATAAGGTCAAGGACACTTATCAATAATGAAATATTTGATCTAACTTCAAGATTATACTTCAAAAGACATTACGCTTTCGCATCAAATTCAAATAAAATAGAGCTAAAACAAAGAAGAATACTTTAACTTATTTAATAACTATATTAAACTACGTCCAAGTTAAGCAATCGTAAGTCCTTATCGTAGAGAAAATTCAAGACTTTTGTAATTAAAGTAATTGCGTTTTAAACTAGATAAATTGGTCCATGGAGATTGCTTAATCATTTATGTAGCAACATTGCCAAATTCTTGAACGACTTATTGAGGCTAAGACATGCGGAAGAGAATAATGGCATGTTTTTGCATAACAAATAAAAACTCGTCCCTCTCTAGGGAAAATAGACTCGAGGTAAATAATGTATATTTCACTTATATAGTAGGTACGTATTGTATGTATACGATATTGGATGTCGTATAACTAGCGTGCTTAGGAATAACTTTACTGCCATCGTAAAACTATCTCACGGCCCATCACCGACTATCTTATAGGAGTGTGCGATACTACTGCCTACACACCTAAAGAACATTTTATATTATCCATAAACAAACCATAAACCCATGTTACTCTACTTAACTATTGAGGGGATGTTTATGTCAGACTAACCGGCCTTAAATCATAAGTTAATCATTAAAAAGTTTCCAAGTTCCCCTTCATGAAATTTCAAAATGATTTACTCTCAAACGAAGTAATTACAAATAAATTCAATTTGAAACGGTTGCCGAAGATTAAAATAGGAAAATTAAAATTATTATTTAAAGTGTGGGAGAGCCACGCTTCGGCACGAATGGGCCGGCTCGACCGGAGTGATACCACGGCCTCATAGAAAACCGACGTGAAGCAACGCTTGCGATGTGTTTCGTCGTGTGAGTGAGGTTACCGGAGGAGGAGACAATCCCTGAATCTCCAACGATCCTCAAACTCCTAATCCCCAAAAGGCCGGTAACGCACTTCTAACGCCTCTGGTGTTCCAGGTGTCCATGGGCGACGCCGATTGCTTACCAACAGGTAATCAGTCTGCTCGTTTACCGGCTTATGCCATAAAAAAAATATTAAAACAACATTTTCTTTTAATTCTTTTACGATTCGACATTAAATTTACAGTTTGTTTGATCGTTGGATTTCAGGTGGCAGCCGGCCAGGTAGAAGGCTTAGCAAACCCGTTTACGTGGCGGAAGGTTAATTTCAGAAGTTTGCGTTTGCCTTTTAAAGATTTAAAACAAACTTCGCAGGATCACGGGTAGCGTCCAATTAAAAAACGGTTGAATAAAGCGTTAAAGTATTTCAAGTAAAATATACATAATAATAACGACTTCCTTTTTAATCTTAAAGTTTAAAAACTTTCTATTCTTCTTAAACTTTGTCTGTTAGTTCTATATAATGTTCATAAAACCTGCTTCAAAGTAGAATGGATTTAAAAAATATTTTAAAGATTACGTAATTAGAGTTCCTTTGTAATATTTTTCCTCTCATTATGCTTTACCATCGTTTACCATAAAACACAACACAACACAGATTTATCTTATTGCATGTTTAATATTAATGAATTGTGGTTAATTAATTAACATTAACATCTCGCTTATTCCTAATTGTGTGTCGTCATACATTTATACATTAGCTATTGCTGGTATTGAAAAAAGATAATTAACAGACTGATAGGTTGAGCAACAAGAGCCATAATCACTAATTTGTATAAAAATCAATAACATAACATCACGCCTCTTATCCCCGAAGGGGTAGGCAGAGGTACACATTACGGCACTGTCGATGTCACTGTATAATGTAACACCCACTTTTCACTGTTTATTATTTATTTTTCATTTTTATGTTATGAATCCCATGTAATAGGGGGTGAGACTATTGCTGTATACCGAGCACAATTCTAGACTCCGTGCTACTACTAAGAATTTTATTTTAAAAAACCCAGTAATACTTTGCCAGACTCGGGAATCGAACCAAAAACCCCTTGCCCGGCAGTCTCACTTGCCACTCGACCAACGAGATAGTGAATTGGAATCACATTTCATATAAAAACACGTTTAATAATTAAATTCATAGCCAGCCTCACAATTCAAAACACATAACAAATTCGAAAAAAGGTATTAACAGCCTGATAAGTTGAGCAAAAAGAGCCATTGTCATTCATTTGTTTAAAAATCAAATAAAAAAAATGTCTAACAAAAGCTGTGAATAAAACATCAGCCGTGTAACTGCACGTGAACTTTTTTAATTAATCCACGTCTCTTGAACAAACAAAAACACCTACACGCCAACGTGAAACAATTTTAATTACGATTGCTACAAAATATTCATCAGAACTCGAAAATATTTCAATATAAAAAGTTATCTGTTTTCCTAGTCTAGTGTTAGTAAACGTGAGGTCCTCCATTCGACATTATTTTAATCAAAATGTCACTGGGAATAATAAAGAAGTGAGTATTCAACAAATAGAAGATAAAGGAATGAATACTTATTATTACAACTAATATCGCACTAGTCAAAATTATGTGTATTACCTAAGTACCTATATGGTAATTAAATGGTACGATAAATTATAGTGTTCCTACCTACTACACTACTTACCTACCTACCTACTACATTATAGTAGGTACTACAGTGCTGCTACCACTACGGTACGTAATAAACATTTATTTATTTATTTTAGAAAATGTACATATACAACACCACAGCTTACGCCATATACCAACATAGCATAGCATAGCATTTTGTAACCATCATATATCATCCCACTTCTTCTTCGAACGTTAATTTAGAAGAATCCATTGGCAAGCTCCAACACAATTACAGACACCATTCTATGACTGAGAACCCTGCGTATCAAATTCTCATAAACCAATTTCAAGTCATGGGATTGTAAGATAAGCGTAGCAGCCATTTTGTTACCCTATACATCGTGCAGGCTTCTCTGAAGACGGATTATTATGGGGCTGGAAAGCTTAGCCGGCAATCTTCTAACACAACAGATTGATGCCATAGTTTCATGGCTGTAATACGATGTCACGTCCAGATAACTGTATATTGCCGTCTATTATTAGTATCGAGACTGTTTTAGGATTATTTCAATGACTTTTATGTGTATATAGCAACATAATGGTCTATCTGAAATAGTGTGATGAAGACCGGTAGAATGTTATTCGTACGCTTATTTTAGGTTCTTATATTTTATAGTACCTAATTCCAATCACCCTCACAAAACCGACGTCAAAGTCATAAAAGAATTGGATATATTGACGTCAAAAGAAAACATTTTGCTTCCTTTAAGAAACGTGTGAGATATAACCAAAGTCAGTAACACGCCGCCTATATCTGGCCACTTTCCTCAACACGCAAGCTCACTTTCCGACTCAGCGCTGTACAGGTAAATGAGGAAAAGAGTCGACTTGACGAAACTGAGGCAGTTCCCGTACCAATCGCGGCCGGTAAGTAAATCCATTCTGCGAGTTCCTTCAGCACGTGACAACCATGCAAATGGGTCTCAACACGAGCTACGAGCCAGTACACCAAATACTTTATTGTTCATTGCCCAAACTTGTGCTTCAATAAAATATTGTTCGAACAACAACTTTGATATGTTATTATCGAATATATGGCACGGCCTAATGGTCGCGTTGTAGTGAATTCCAATGAGCAAAGAAAAGGAACATTTATTCCTCAAAATTAAAAAAAATGCATTGATAATAATGTGCGATCCAATTCAAAACTTTACTAAAAACGTGATTGCATTTCAAAATAGCTATAGTTTTTACGGCTTCCTCGGTGAACCGGTGTATTAAGAGTAAACAAACATTTCAGTGCGCTGTATATTTTTATGTGCAACTCATTCGCTATTTTACGAAACCGGTAATAACTTGGTATCGGCTATTCGGCTCGACGAACTATGATTGCGAATTTTACTTACAAATACGAGTACGGTTTATCGGTTCGCTGGCATTCTCTTTGTTTATTGTTGTTTCCGGGTTTATTACTCGAGTTTCGAGTCTCGGCGCTAACAAGCGGCTCTTGAAAATATTTTCCATTATGCAGGACCCGCGGCCGGATCCGAATTAACTTTCATACTATTCACACTGAAGCGAGATGATTGTGTGAGTACTTACGGTATTTCCGTCTTTACGAGGACACTGTTTGCATCGCTGAGTCCACGATTGGAATTTTAAATTACTTAAAATATCACTAAGGTAGGAGCGCTCCCAGAAAATAATACTGTGGAACGTGGTATCCAATAAGTAGGTATTATTTCCCTTTGAGTGGATGTAGAAACAATAAATTTACTTAAAAGTGTTTCATTATAACTTGGTTGGTGAATTGTAATGAAGTGGACGTGTTCACTTAGCTAATTGTCTTTTACGGAGGTAGGCGCGCGCCGTACTAGCTGTAACAAGCTACTCAGACGGACGTACCTAATTAAGTACCTGAACTTAATGGCTAAACTTCGTCCTAATTTTCTAGAAAACTCAGTAATAAAATAAAAGGACGGTCCTAAATCAGTTTACTAGTTGGTACGTGCTTTGAGTGTAAAATGAGAAGGAATGCAAACACCGCCAATTTCTTCTACACGTACCTTATTTATGGTTGCAAAGTTACGTTCACAGGGAGATTGTGTAGTTCGGAATGTGTAAAAATTGTGAGAAGTTATTATGGAATACATATTCGCACTTTCAGGCATTTTGTAAACACATTTTTTCACATGACAAATACAACATTATAAAGATGTTATGCAAAAAATTATAAAGAACAATATGATAGGTAATTTCCTTTTGGAACGATACCAATTAGTTTCTTCTTGAAACAAAATGTATGTACATATGAACTTGAATCAAAATGGTAACATTTACCAAACACAGATACCAAACTTACACCTACCTTCTCAAAGAGCCATCAGACCACCACGGATGGAGCACAATAGGGCTGATGCCGATTCGGAGCCGCGGTGAACCTAACCGGTTACCGGGGCTCCGGCTCGAAGTGCAGGAGAAGGAACGGGGTGGTTTTTGGTCAGTAAGAGTCTGACACTCCCTCCTGCCTCACCCAGGCGGAAGCAGTCATTCGATGATTTCCCCCATCAAAAAAAACACCTACCTTCCCATGAAAAAACAAAATAACCACTAATCACATTTCCAATTTGATCCGCAGATTGCTTCTGACATGGCTACTGAATTCTTTACACCACGTCGCGCCGTATCGATACCGCCCCGAAAACGCACTGACGCGCTCCTTCTACGGAGCGAATAATGGCCCAATCAAGTACTTCGCTGATATCAATGAGATTCCCTTCCACGTCTTAATAGTGTATAGCAACCTCTACTGCTCTGGTACCCTGGTGAGGAGTAAGATTGTGATGACGGTCGCCAGCTGTCTCAATCTTGATAAATTCAAGAAGCTAGTCGTCAAGCTCGGTGTTGAGAGTATCACTGGACACGGGTGAGTTTTGTTTTGAAAAGGTCTTTTAACTGTCTTGTTGGCCGAGTGGTCACAAGTGCGACTGCCGGGCAAGGGGTCTCGGGTTTGATTCCCGGGTCGGGCAAAGTATTACTGGGTTTAAAAAACATCTCAGTAGTAGCACGGAGTCTGGATTGTGCCCAGTATATGGCAATAGCACCCCCTATTACATGGGTCTCATAACATAAATAGTGAAAAGTGGGTGTTACATTGTACAGTGGCATAATGTGCACCTCTGCCTACCCCTTCGGGGATAAAAGGCGTGATGTTATGAGTTATGAGATGAGTCTTTTAACTGTTGTTTAATGTACTAGAGTATACAATAGAGATGATGACAGGGTATAAAAATTAAAAATCTAATTAGTCCGTCAGTTAGGTAATTAAAAATAATAGACGTGTATTTTTTATTTTTTCGTATAAGAAATTGTTTTCTTACTTAGATAAAACGAATCAAAGTTTAAGAGTGGGAGGTCGTTACCTCTATTTAAAGTATACAACGTACTCAAAAGTAACCTCATGCGATATTTCAAATCAATATATCTTAGAAACTATTCGTTTCCGTAAGAAAATTAAAATACGTGTCTAATGTTTTTAAATAATCTACCAGACGGATATAAAATAAAAATTAATATTCTACCCTATTATTAGTGGGCTAATAAAGTTAAATTAAAAACTAAAATAAAACTGTGTTGAATAAAAAGTTGCATTACACATATACATAGTTTGAATATTCAAGTTTACGTAAGTAATTAGTACTAACATTATGAATCTTCGTAATGCTCAATAACTAAATGTATATATAGTTTAGAAATAATCATTATTATACATTTAAGACTAAAACCTTATACAGAAATTAGATAATAGTACTAAAGTCTCACAAACGTCTTTGTTCTAACCACGATGTACACAAAATCCCTAATGAAGCAAGCTATACGAAGGTATCTCTAAAGAGAATGGCTGCAGGAACAACGAGTATTACTCTTAGTTTAAAAGACATTATTTATAACTAGCCCCGTCAGCGCTGCACTAAGATTTTAATGAATAGCTTTTAATTTTATGTCGACAACCTCGCTTATACTCATTAAAATACATGAGGTAGATAACGTTTCATAGAATTTCAAGAAATATATTTAATACTTTTTTTTATTACATTCATATAATCAGGACTATCAGCTATTTATCACCATACCACCATATTCCGAAATACTGAACTACAATCTACTTAAAATTAATTCAGACTTCTACTTTCGTTCTCCCCATTCGAGGGGGTTCCATGAGGATTTCCTGCCTCACCTCGGAGTCAAAAAAAACTTCTTTTAGCAAAATTATCTACATACCTATTTCCAGTTTCTGTAATGTAAAATGTAGTATTAGGATTGTATTATTGAATTTGGTTTCTATCTAAGAATTAAAAATTTTACCAGTTATGGAAATGTATGTATACTTTTGACAATATGCCATTTATTTTATGAAGGAACTCTAAACCTGGACAACCCAGAATCTACTATAACATTGTATGTATCAGTCACTAATAATAAATTAATTAACTAAAAATAACGAGTTACTCACGTAAATATACTGAGAAATACTAAAAACAGTTTCAAGTCAGAGGGACTCTTCCTCATGAACAGCGTACGCGGTCGCGGCGATATCACACAACCTACCGTAAGAAAGTCGTAATTTTTAGTTAATTCAGCATAACTCACAATAGTTATTATAAAAATAAATTAATTGTATTTCAGACAAGTAATACCAGTTATCGACATTAAGATCCACGAGTATTACAAATACATGGGGCGGATAGACAACGACATCGCCTTGCTAATGTTGCAGGTATAATATAATAATCCTCCTTCATTTTGCTTAAACAAATATCTATGTGGTCCAAATAAATAAACAAATAACCATAGTCTTGTTTTGGTCAGATTTGTTACGGAGCCGCGGAGGACTTAACGGGTTGCCGGGGCTCCGGCTCAAAGTGCAGGAGTAGGAACGTGGTTGCTTTTAGTCAGTAAAGGTCTGACGCTTCCTCTCGCCTCACCCAGGTGAGAGAAATCATTGGATGACTTTCCCCCATAAAAAAGGGATGTGATAACACATTGTGTATTTTCTCTTTGGTGTTATTAGATTTCGATTCAATAAGACTTTTTAGCGCAGCAGTACAGGTTTTACTTGTCAGTACACGTAAAACGTGGGAGAGCCCTGCTTCGGCACGAATGGGCCGGCTCGACCGGAGTGATACCACGGACTCACAGAAAACCGACGTGAAACAACGCTTGCGTTGTGTTTAGTCGTGTGAGTGAGGTTACCGGAGGCCCAATTGCCCCTCCCTAGTCCCCGTCTCCCAAATCCCCCAATCCTCCACAATCCTCAAAATCCCAATTCCCAAAAGGCCGGTAACGCACTTATAACTTGCGTTGGTGTTTCGAGTGTCCGTGGGCGGCGCCGATTGCTTACCATCAGGTGATCCGTCTGCTCGTTTACCGGCTTATACTATAAAAAAATCCTCTACCATGCCAGTACATCCGATAAGCGGACCGAATTTATAATTTAGCTCTTCCTAGAGCACTTAAATAGTAGAGTAACTAATAGTAGAGGAGACACTATAGTGGATAATATAAGTGCACTCTCATTATCCGACGGTAAGGCTATCCGACACGACCGGAGAGATGTTAGGTTAACCGTAGAACAGCTAAAAAGGGCGAAAATGCTTTTATTAATTTTTCTTCTACTGTTAATAGTAAATTTTAACCTGACTCCTTAACAGGGATTATACCTAATTAATTAACTGTATAAAATCTACGGTATTACTGGTTTTTAAAAAAAAAATCTCAGTAGTAGCATGGAGTCCGGAATTGTGCCCGGCAATAGGCTCACCCGCTATTACATGGAACTCAGAACATAAATAGTGAATAGTGGGTGTTACATTGTACAGTGGCATTAAGTGCCGTAATTTGTACTTCTGCCTACACCTTCGGGGATAAAAAGGTTTGATTTTATGTTATGTAAAAACCTACGATTTTCCGGACCCCGTTATAATAATTTGGGGATAATTGCCCGTGGATGCAGGTGGCGAGTATCGTTCGATGTGGAGGACTAAGGGGCAGGCCTATGTCCAGCAGTTGAAGATGATGATGATAAAACCTACCCATCCAGGGAATCCAAGTTGAAACCTTAGTCGGGTACCCCTAGAATTCTGAAATAAAGATGAATAGACAGATAAGAATAAAGAGACAAGAATCATAATATATTTATTTATACTGCTACCGAACCGTTGTGAGTAATACGGGTACATTACGTACCTACTTTCGATGATAAACCAATAAAGGTGTACGTGATCCCTTAATTTTAGGATATTCTATTATTCTTTGCCAGAAGCTGAAAGCCTATTTTATTTATCTAACAATAAAACTGTTCTGTTAGGTATCCATCTACCATTTCTAGACACCTTTTTAAATGGAAGATTCTAGAATAGTTAATTCATTCATTTGTCGAATGTTTGGAAAAAAGTTCGTCATCATCAGCCCGTATTTGTCCACTGCTGCTGGACATAGGCCTCTCCAATGGCACTCCACTGAGCTCGGTCTTCGACCCTTCTCATCCAACCACTGCCAGCCACCTTGCGGATGTCATCACTCCACCTAGCTGGAAGGCGCCCTACACTACGTTTGCGTAGACGCGGTCTCCACTTTAGAACACGTTTACCCCAAAAAAACAGAAGAAGGAAAAGAACTTACAAAGCAAGAAGTTTCTTTCTCGATTATAGCATCGGTCTAATTCCTTAATTGCAACACAAAACGTCCTTAGGTTTCGTATTTCAAATTATCATTAAAAAGGATGCTAAAATCGGTGTATAACAATAATTTTCTTATTCATGGAACTCGTAACAATAGAGGGTATCACACATCTCTATTTGCCTGTACACATTACAAATTAACCATCTATAACATCAGATTAAATTACTAATTGCAACCTAATTACGTTTATATTATGTGCTATTATCCCACAACAATGTATCGGATTCTCGTTACACATAGTTGCTCCTTGACATCTCGCAGTATTCCCGTGGGGATCGTAAGTGGTTCTTAAGGGATTAAATCAAATTGAAAGACAGTACCCTCACCTGTGTACAGAGAAATGAACTTTAAATAGACCCCTAGTATTCAATATAATGGTTATAACGTTAATCTTTAGTACACTCAATGTTGAGATTGAAACTTAATATGTTTTGAGTATTACATTCAGAACTTTCATATGTGCACCTATAACACAAAGACAAAACGAATGAAAATGTCAAAAGACAAACTTCACTGCCTTGTTAGTTCACAGAAACTCTAAAACCAAACCACGAAAATTCATATTCGAATAATAAAAAGAAGAAATCGAAAAGTCTCGCAGCTGCAAAAATGCACAAGTCCCTTATATCAGAGGTCTTTGACCTTCGAGCTTTATGGCTAGCAATAACCGTTGGAACACTAGAGAACGGAATGTATCTAATGCATTTAATTAATAATGGAAGATGTAGATTTTTCACCTGCGGCAGGTATTAGCTTATCCACTTTTATTACGACTTGCTCTTAGAACAGTATGAATATTGATATTTGTATTGTAACTTTCGTGAGACATACTAAGTAAATTATTATGTTTTCGGCTTACTCACGTAATAATTTGACGAGGAACTCGACTAGTTTCGACGCGGCGACTGTAGCGCTGCCGCAGCAGTAGCAGCGTTCGTGAAATGCTGCTCATGAATATGAGCCTCTAGCATGGCTTGAAAATAGTCGAGTTCCTCGTCAAATTATTACGTGAATAAGCCGAAAACATAATAATTTATTTAGTATATAGATAGTCCTAAATTCAGATCTCTACTTGTAATATCAAGTATTTTTAGAAATTATAGACGTGAATGTTGTGTCATGTTTCACTGCAGGTATAGTACTTCTAATTTTGTAAAATTAAGGACCTTTGTAAAAGGAATGAAACACGGTATCTAGTCGAATTTCTTATTTATGAAAGCTTGATTAAGTTAACATGTGACTGAACTTGTTGCAAGTTACAATAACTTTTTTCTATGAAGCGGATCATAAAATAATTGATCAGAAAACACTCGTTATTGGTATTAAAGCCAAATGGCTCAAACGCTAGCCGTAGGTCGCTAAGCTAATCTCGTTAAATACGTTTTAAACACCTCTAAATATTACAGGTCAACAGTATCGTAAAATGTAAACAGTGTCAGCAGACAGGGTGTGTCAATTACTCATGTCCTGGCGTGCCTAATACCAATATTAACACCCTCTCATTTCGATGTTTATTTACATTACCTGACGACTATGTTTTACAAAAACTAAGTTTAGCTGAACACGTGTTTTAATGTAACAAAAATACTATTGGCCATAGGAAAACATCTTGCCTTTTGTCTGATAAAGAGGTAGATAATACAAGCTGCCTCTTTAAGTATGTAATAGTAATAATTTGTAATAGTAATGGTCTAACTAGAGTAAAGTATACACCTCCTATTATTAGAGCTGTTACTTTCGTCGATCTCAGGAAAAATTGAATCTTGGTTTATTGATAAAATCGTTGAATATAAAAAACATTGACTGCGATAGAATAAGGACTGGATTGAGTTCTACTCGTTGCCTGCCTGCACGTTGCATTAAATTCATGAGTTCCATAAAATAATCTTTTTCATTAATAGCGGTGTTCCCTTAAATTACAAGGGACTTCTTGGTCAGTCATGTAGACTGACCAAGAATTTTTTGGTCAGTCATGTAGACTGACCAAAAAATAATTTTAATTGAAAGTTAAACAATTTTAATACTTTTCTTTTTTTGACTGCCTCGTTGCGACTCAGTAGGGCAAAGTATAAGTACTGGGCTTTTTCAAAAAATCTCAGCACGGAGTCTGGAATTGTGCCCGGTACATGGCAATAAGCTCACCCCCTATAACATGGGACTCATGACATAAATAGTGAAAAGTTGGTGTTACATTGTACAGTGGCATTAAGTGCCGTAATGTACATCTCTGCCTACCCCTTCAGGAATAAAAAGGCGTGATGTTACGTTATTCTTTTTATTTATTTTTTGTATTCTTATTTAGACATCTATGTTTTTGCAGGAACACGTGTTTTTTAGCCCAATTGTGAAAAAGGCAGTACTTGTGGAGCCTGAAATGGTTCTACGACATGGTTTCATCATAGAAGTGTCAGGGTGGGGCAGCACTGTGAGTGTTATGGTTTTTAATTAGCGTTGTATCATCGTGTGCTATATATCAGTTAGGAGCAATATGCTGATCTACTGTTATAACACTGGACGAAAACGCAAGTGTTGCCTACAAACCGTGCCCAGAAGTAGCGAAAGTCGTTTGTATTGTTACTGTATTATTATGTTATTTATGACAAATTATTTTAATTTTTTATGATGAGGTTTTATGTAGGTACTAATACTAGTTTATAAGTGGTGTATGTCTTTACTAACCATATGGATTGTATTATCAGAATAAATAAATTGATATATAGCAGTAAAGCAATACACTTTGAAAGTTGATCATGGCTGCTTGTATATCACTGCACACGATGATAAACTTACGCCTCGGTATTTGAAAAGTTTGCACTCCTAATGAAACTTTGTTCGAACGCCATCTACCTTGCAAGCGACAAATTAGAAACGCCTTTCGACGGCAACTTAACAAACTAAATGGGCCTTACGAGTTTATTCTGTTCTGAATGATAGATAACTTTAGCTTACGAATGAATGCAAATGCAAACCGATAGATGGCGTGTTTCTTAATTCTATAATTTGTGTTATCGTTGGTTAGAGCTGCGAACGCGAGACGTTGACCCCTCCAATCAAATATTAATCAGTCACTGGGGTTCGATTTCGCGTTAATATATTATAACTTGGATAACTTTCACAAATAATAATATCACCAAGGGAGAATTTCTGAGAAGTAACTATAGCTCTGGTAACAGAGAGTTACAACTCTGTTTGGTAAAATCATTATTATAATAGATATTATGTTACTTGATTCTGTTAATTTTGAACTGTTAAATAACTTAGGTACCTATTAGTTTAGTGTATAAGTATTCGAAAAGTAAATTCTTTATTTTATATCCATAAGTACCTACATTTCAACCTACTATTTTAGACGAAAAAGTTATGTTGATGAATTGCATTGATTAATTTGTTTGGTCAAAAACCAAGCTTTATCTATGAAAATACTACACAATATACATACCTAGCTAGGTACTAGTCCAATAGTCACATAAGTAAGGGTATAAATAACACTTTTCTTGGATATCACTGAAGAATAGTGACGTCATCGGTATTTGGAGCAAATATTTGAATACCATTATAAAAGTAGATTGTGGAGGGTGTCTACCCTGCCACTATGTTATGTATGATGATATAGGTACACATTATTAGAACTTCTTTCAAAACTCCTTTCTTAATTTACCGTGTACCTCAAGCCGTACAGTCGCGGAGAACCTAACGGGTTACCGGGGCCCCGGTTCGAAGTGCAGGAGAAGGAACGGGGTGGTTTTGAGTCAGTAAGAGTCTGACACTCCCTTCCGCCTCACCCAGGCGAGAAAATTCAGCGATGTGTGCGTGAACTTATACGTTTATAAACGCACCCACACACGACACAGGAGAAAATCCTAGAGTGAGGCAATGTTTTTTTTAAAAAAAAAAGAAAAATAGTAAAACAATACTTACAAGAGGTATAAGCCATCGCCTTTTTTTACTTACTGCTTATTTTCTTACAATTCCAGAACTTGCCCCAGACGTACGTTAACCAGTTGCTATTGACAGAAATGGTTATAATAGAAAAACAAGAATGCGCTCAGTACTACAAACACCTTTTAACGCCATCCAATTTCTGTGCCAAATATCCTCCGGTAAGTAACGATACTTGTTTTCAATAACTAGATTAAAGCTAATGAATAATCCTAAATGTATCATGGATTGCATTTTTGACATAAAAATTACAGACTTGTTATTCTCTAAACATTTGAAAAGTAAAAAAATGCAATCATGAATCGTTTCACTTCTTTGTATGCATTTGGAACAGCTTTAAAGAACTGCATTTATCAAAACATGCTAAATCATGGAAGAAATATAAAAGAAATAACAGGGAGATACGTTTGCCAAGCGCTTGAATGGTACCTCAGTGTGCGGAACTTGGACACTGGCCAAGACGACACTAAAATGAAGGCGAGAAATTATATCGTAGTATACAAACATGTAAAATCTATAAAATTGCTTGCACTTCTATAATAGGACGCACAACAAAGAAAAAAGTATTCTGTGACGTCACAACGTAGAACGTATGGATATCCTTTAAGCTTTTCTGTTAATCGCGAACAATGGCGAACAAAATATTTTCGCAATATATGGAGATTTTGAAGCTCTTTATGACGATGATGAAAGCAGTCTATAAGAAAAAAAATACATTAAAAAACATTAAAATAAAATGTACTATGATAACCATAAAATAGAGCTTACTTTTGAGCAAAATTCTGGGTGATAGTTGACACAGTATTTGTAAAAAGTCACTTGTTGTGGGCTTCTTTATTGTCACTTTTACGTCCGAATACTGAAAGGCTACTCAATTTTATTATGTACTTAAATAACGTGCCATCTCTGTCATTTTACAAAGACTTTGTGTGACAGAACTATACTTAAACACGGCTTAAATGAGAGTAGCGTTTGAGTATTTCAGCGTGAGCGATAAAAAAGAAACGGTTCCTAAATACATCTAGTTGATACGATATTGTATAGCATACGGTGGCGGTGAGCCCTGAGCTGAGCATCGCCGTGTTCTCAGGGATATAGTCGGCGACGGCGACCTCTCGCGTCCGGCTCTGGTGCAGGCCATGGTACGGAGCGAGGGGGATTGGGATGCCGTCTTCTCCTTCTACAAAGCAGTCATACTAGCCAATGAGAAGGCGGGGCGCGTGAGGGAATGAACCTCTTCACGCTCCAGCCGTCGCAGGAGACACACCGGGCGTCGGAGATCGCACGACGATCTCCAGCCACCGGAAGTGCGGGTTTGCGGACGGCGAGCATGCGTAGCTCGCCGCCCGACTACAACCAGACCCGTGCGTACGGCGCGTCGCATTCCGCGCGCGCCTCAAAGAGCCATCAGATCACCACAGATGTGGCTGATGCCCGATATGGAGCCGCGGAAAGCCGGGTTGGCGGGGCTCCGGCTCGAAGAGCAGGAGTAGGAACGGGGTGGTTTTCAGTCAGTAGAAGTCTGACACTCCCTCTCGCGTAACCTAAGGCGGGAGAAGTAATTGAATGATTTTACCTCTTCAAAAAAAAAGAAGTTGATAAAATATTAACTAAAACAGACAAAGCAAAGATACAACAAAATTATTTCAATCCCGGCTCTGACGTCACCAAAATAACACATCCGAAAGGTCGACTGATTAATCAGACATACCTACACAATATTCTAAAGAAAGCACAAAGGATACAGTACCTAGATTTATGTATGTAGGTACATTTGTATATCTGTACTTACATTGTAGACTTCGTACTTTCTTTGATTTATGCTGGGTGCATTGCATTCGTGGACATTATTTTAAATGTAAGTAAATAAGTATACAATAATAATTCCAATAAGAAAGTAATTTAAAAAAATATTATAATGATTGATGACTATACAGTGCGTACTTTTTAATTCACGCCGCTCTATCTAAGTGCAATCATGATTTTATTGAACTGGCTGACCTGGCAAACTTCGTACCGCCTGTATTTTTTCCCACCTTTTAAAACCTTCCCTGGACTTCCACGAACATTTTTAGACCAAAATTAGCCAAATCATTTCAACCCTTCTCCAATTTTAGCGAGACTAACGAATGGAAATTCATTTGTATTTATATAGGTAGATAATATTTAAGTTCCATAATGCAACATGGCAACATCACACGTAGTCGATGCCCCAGATTAACACTATGCCACGATTCCAATTACGTCCTATATTTTAAGCAAAGATTCTCAGTCGCTCACGTGTTCACATATAATTGGAACGTATAAGTTGTAGGTCAAGTGAAGGTCTTTAATCTGTGTAGTACTTAATTTTCAGGAACGTCGTCTGAGCGACAATGGCGGTCCAGCCGTGTACGACAAACAGGTGGTCGTTGGCATGCTGTCCTATGGTGGCACTAGTACTGAAGACCCACACATCGCCATCTTTAGCAACATTTCCTACTTTAACAGGTATTTTAAACTAGCTTCTGAATCACAAATAAGACAGAAAGGATCCAAGACAGTTATTCCTGTTCCTGGGACACCCCAGGCTCTGGGAGGGTTTTGGGATGGACGAGCTTGTCTCATTAGCTTCTGCCAGCGGCTTAATCGGTGCTATCAGGAAAAAAACCAACGTGTTATTCGCTTATTTGTGATTCTTAACTATTCCACATCCAGAGTCATTCAGAGGTCTCAGGTATTTGCAAATGCATTCAGGTCACGAGTTAATCAAAGACGAGCAAAGTACTAATTGGAGTTTTCTTGACTTTTCAAAAAATATCTTTAGTAGCGCGGTCTCGGTCCAGTTCTAAAATTAATATCACTTTAGAATTAGAATGCTTGAATACTTGCTATATATGTGACTAATGTGACATAATCTCGATAATTTTCTGTCCATATGTCCTTACCGGTTCTTGTAATATGTAATTAATGCTGGTATATTCCATACATAGCAATATTTATGACATGACTGGTTAAAGTGGGTGTTACATTTAATATATAGATACCTGGCTTCCACTGTGGGAAAGAAAAAATATTATGTTACATCTAAATATTAAGTACATTTTGTTATCTTACAGATGGATAACACTGAACACGAAGAGGTTTTTAGAAAAATATTGCGTACCGACGGAGGATCCCTATGAATATTATGTTGTATCTGATACGAATAATTCATAAAATAACTTTAAACTATATTAAAATTGAAAAAATAAATTTAGGTAGTGTGTATTTTTTAATGGAATAGGAGGCAAACGAGCAGACGGATCACCTGATGGTAAGCGCTCAGCGCCACCTATGGATACCCGCAACACCAGAGGAGCCACAGGTGCGTTGCCGGCCTTTTAAAAAGATATACGCTTATAAAATAATAAAGTATTTTTTTTTTACTTTTAAAATTATTTTACTTATATACATAATCTATTGCTACGAATCTACGATTCATACATACATACACTCTTTCGCTTCATCAACAGTCATCAGTCTTTTCATGCATGCTCGTCGGTTACGGGTACTGTTAATTTGGCCTATCTTTATCGCCAATCTGGTCCATATATGTGCGTCTAGGGCACCCTCTACCGACGGCCCTATTCATATCCGCTCTGTGTGCTTCTTTCGTTACTCTACTTTCATCCATTATTTCTACATGTTCAAACCTGCACTGTTATGTATTAAAGTATAACATTATCTATTCATATATCTTCTTATATCTATCTATCTATATCTATATATATAATAAAATCGTAGAAGGTCAAAACTGTACATACAATATTTAAAAAAAAATACTTGGGGCATAATTTGCAATCGATACCGAAACCAAAAATATAGTTTTTAGAATTTTTGTATGTTTGTCTGTTTGTCTGTATGTATGTCTGGGCTAAACTCAAAAAGTACTGCATAGACTTGCTTCAAATTTTGCATGAATATTACAAACAGGCCAGATCAACATATAGGCTACATATTATCACGCTATCACCTATGGGGGAGGAGCTGTGCAGAACTATCCAAAGTCACTATTCCATGCGAACGAAGCCGCGCGCATCTACTAGTTATAATATAAATACAATAATGTATGATTGGAGCACGAGCATGACATCCGAGTTAGTTCATCTATTCAACCCTAACATTAAGTACCTATATGAAAAAGATGTAAATATTAGATTTAGATTTCCATCGCACGAATTACGCTGCCGCAACAATAAACACAGGTGCTGTTATTGTAAAATGAACCTTTGCTTTGTGTAGAAAGGACATAAAGTAACTCGCCTCGCTAACCACGATTTGAAGCTGGATTTTAGACTGCAGGGTTGGTGCGGTAACTGGGCAACCGGCTGCCGTGCAACGTGTCGCGGGTTCGATTCCCGCACGGAACAACACTTTGTGTGATCCACAAATTGTTGTTCCGGGTCTGGGTGTCATGTGTATGTAAATTTGTAAGTTTGTAAACACACCCACGACACAGGAGAAAATCCTAATGTAGGGCAATGTTTTCTTTAAAAAAAAGCTCACCTAGAAACGGTGCATGATGATGACGTATTGATAAATATTGTAGGAATGGGAAAAAACAATATGATAGCCAAGAATTATGCGACTACCTATAACGACATGTGGCTGTTTCAACGAACGGAAGGCAATTTCCTAGAAAGCTGCTTCGCAATGCAGTTCCCGTTGAACTAACTACCGCATTGGAAGTTAATTGTCTATTTCGAATATTAAGTATAACATAACGCGTTTGATTCCCCAACGCGTCCTTTTTTTAAGGGGAGAAAATCATCGAATGACTGCTCCCGGCTGGGTAAGGCGGGAGGGAGTGTCAGACTCTTACTGACCAAAAACTCCCTTCCTTCTCCTGCACGTCGAGCCGGAGACCCGGTAACCCGTATAAATAATGTATATAAAACAATATATATGTATAAATCTATATATATAAAAGAGAGTCGTGTTAGTTACACTATTTATAACTCAAGAATGCCTAAAGCGATTTGGATGAAAATTGGCGAGGAGGTAGCTTAGGACCAGGAGACGGACACAGGATACTTTTTATCTAAATTTTTTTTTTTTTACTTTTACCGAAATTCACGAACGGGAACGGGGGGGAAATGGGATTGCGCGTACGAAGTCGCGGGCAGAAGCTAGTAAACCATATAGGTAATGCCCACTTTTCATGCTATGTATACCTATTGTAACAGGCGTTAAAAGCAGTTTAGACATAAGAACCTCTTCCATTATAAATATATAGACTACCTAGTTGGCCGAGTTGGCAAGTGCGACTGCCGGGCAGAAGGTTTCGGGTTCGATTCCCAGGTCGGGCAAAGTATTACTGGGTTTTTAAAAAATTCTCAGTAGGTAGTAGCACAGAGTCTGGAATTGTGCCCGGTATATGGCTATTGCCTATTGGCTCACCCCCTATTACATGAGACTCATAACATAAATAGTGAAAAGTGGGTGTTACATTGTACAGTGGCATAATGTGCACCTCTGCCCTTCGGGGATAAAAGTCGTGGTGTTATGTTATGTTAGTCTCCGCCCGCGGCTTCAACCGTGTTCTTGGGATAAAAAATATCATATGTGCTATTCCACACTATTGTCTATCTCCGTTCCAAGTTTCCTCAAAATTCATCCAGTAGGTACACTTGGCGTGGAAGAATAACAAATAACAATCAACACACATGTATAAGTAGGAAAGGATTGTGACATTCTTACAAAAGTAAACATGCAATTCCACTAAAGGCATCTATTGGCTCTTCGACGCCAACTCCAAATGAAAGAACATAAAAAAATATTTTTAATTTAAATTAAAATGGGCTAAGAATTCTGGTGATCATTTACTATTTTGCCACTTAAAATCAGATGATAAGTTAAACATAAGGGTGTTTTATATTGCCTTTTTTGGACTTATCTTTGCCTTTTTTGGACTTATGTTGGCAGTAAATAACTATGAATTCACGTAACTGCTCTTCGATCCACCCCTTGAGGTACCACAGGTTCGTGTAAACGCTTGGTTTGTCTTTCATTGCACAGCCATCACCATGTGACGCTAGACCGACCAATTTCCTGCAAATTTTCATAAGAACAAACATTAGTATTGCGTGATATAGTTTAAATATTGATATTTATTTATTACATGTGACTGCACCTCGTGATGTTAAAACTTTGTTTTATTTTGTGAACTGTGGTAAATAAACTGTTTACTATGTATTGTTTCTATCTAAGGTACACAATGGCATTAAAACAGAACACATCAACCGACAATGCTAACACAGACACACTTTTTAATGAAGTTAAAAATATGAAAATGATATATATTCACTGATGTTTATTGTCACATCATCAGCCGTCAAATGTCCACCGCTGAGACAAATGCCGCTGAGGCAATAAGATAAAGATAAGGTCTTTAAAGAATATCATAATACTTATTGCATGGTGGTTTGAAGATTGCAATTAATACAATTAAACCTACATTAAAGGCTTAGAGAATGCCGCTCTCGGTCCTTCGTCCATGCCGCGCGATTATACATATTATAGAATTACTATACTTTCTTACCCACGCCAAAGTACTCCTCCGCCAGAGTCTCCGCGGCAGCTATCCCTCTTTCCGTCTCCATAAAGACAGAACATGTCTGGAGAGAGCGCCATATTATGTAGACGACTGCATTTTTTTGCCGGTATATATCTTAGAACGGTCATCATAAGATACTTTGTGGTTTTTGATGATGATACGTTATACTGAAACAACGCAGAAAAGATAAGATTTTATTTTTGTAATACAAACATAACATATCATTACAGTCTCCCTTTGGAATAAGCAAAGATAATGGAACGACTCTAACGTACACTTTATTATCATCCTTACTAATATTATAAATCGGAAAGTGAGTTTGTTTGTTTGTTCCACTTTCACGCCGTAACTACTAAACCGATTGCTTTAATTTTTTGCAGACGTGAAGTTAGAAGTCTGGATTAAATAATAGGCTACTTTTTATCCCGGAAAAATTTGATATTCTCGAGAGAAAACGAAATTATTGGTATAGATGGCGCTGTGTGTATTAGTGTATATCACATAGGCTACTTTTTAACCTTTTGTGACGCGAGCGAAGCCGCGGGTAAAAGCTAGTCTAAGTATATTCATCAGGATCTTCATACAACAAGTATTACGTGGCCACATCGCAATCAGAAGCCAATAAACAAGTAACGATGTCTAAATAAGTATTTTAATCATAGATATTATGAACCAGGGAAGGATCTGTTGCCATCTTTTGAAAGACCGTAAAACTATTATATAGGCATGAAGCCTGCCCTCTCTTTTAGTATTAATTAGGTACAAACTACAAAATTTTTGTTATTAACTCGTCGAGTACCGGTTTTATAGACACAATTAAAGAACAATAGGTCGCGGTCACCGGTGACCGCTTGGTGTTTGACAGTTTAATAACAGAACTTTGTAGATATGCACATATAATGTTTGTGAGTTCTATGTAAAAGTAGAATTTCTCCTCAGTTACGTATGTTTAATAAAGCTTTGGGTAAACAATATCCCGTCTTTGAACTTCATTATTGTATTACTGAAGTTGCATAGATGTTGCTAGAGTTAGCGGGCTGGCTAGATTGAAATTAGCACAAAGCACAACTAGGAGAGTGGGAGAAGTTCAGCTAAGTTGACCAAATATCTTAAAGGTACCGAAATCTTAAAGGTGTCATGATAAAAATAAGATTTCAGTTATCTAAGTTAGTCAGTTTTAATATGCAATTTCAAAGTGTAACTTAGATTCCGTAGCACAAAACTTTTTTCACTCCAGCACAATTTGTATTTTTTTATTAAATTTTGTTTTTGACTTTGATAAGTATAAGTAATTGCTGCGATGTCAAGAAAAAACATTGTTCACTTCATCAGTTGTCGCGAATTCTAAGCCCTTTGTGATTTAACTTGATTATTGATAAGTCATTGTTAAGCAAGTTAAGCCAACGATATACTAGGAAACAAATGTCGGGCGACACGTGTCACCAGCAATGTTGGGTGGAGTAGGGCGACGTTGCCAGACTTTGGTCGACATGTCTGGCAACATCAACGTCGCTGTGGACTTAAAGCGCGCGTTGTCGCCTTATAATATGTCAGGCGAAATCGGCAGGTTTCGCTTGACATGTTGCCGATACAAGTCGTGGGACATTTGTCCCCTATGTATCCTTTACTTCAACCTAACTTCCCATCATCATTATCTTTATCATCAGCTTAAACACGTGTACTGCTAAAAAAGGATATTTTTTTAAACAAAGGCTTCCCTAAATCCTTGTCATTACTGAAACCTTGAAACAAGGAATTAGTACATACCTTTGTCCAACCCCTGCCTGTCACAACGAACTTGTTCTCCTTGGCGCTCATCCATTGGTTGTTGTCTACTAATATCGCTCTCTTAGCTATTTTCCAGAACTTTATTGGTTTCTTAACAAACAATATGGCGATGTCATTCGAAAAAGGAATATCCTTATCGTAATTGTCGTGTACAACGTAAGACTGTAGTAAGTGTCTCTTTGCTTTAAAGTCGTAAATATGTCTTAATCCTGTGGAATTTGTGAGAAATTATTTCATCAGTTTCTTAATTACGTCAGTCTGTTATATTTTACTACATTAGTCAACGATCGTAATGCTAATGCTAATATCCTTATCGTTCTTTGTAAACATGTTTTATAAGTCAAATATAGTGTTTAAATATAACACAAGATTTTTTTTACGAATTAAACTATATGGATCTCGATTCAATTTACGTACGTACATACGTACGCTTCCATACGCTTCATTTTACGTCGACCTTCCAAGGATATTATGAATGTGGTCCGTATTAATTTGCCATGTTTAGGACAACCAAGAACATTGAAAAAATGATGGACACAGTCTCTTGAAACAACGACTGTGGCACCTGACTACTATAGAGTTACACGCAGTACATAAACACATTGACACGAAGGACATCTGTCATTTTCTTAAGTCTGGTAACGTTACCCATTAGGTACACAGGCACACATAAAATAACCACTGACATTTTGATACTTCAATTATTTCTAAGTCACATTATGTTCGCCTTTCTTGCCTTTGTAACATTTAGCAGTACTCTTTACAGGCAACTTAAGCAAACATCACGTGTTTATAATTATGTAGGTACGAGTGACAAACTAGGTATGAGACAAAACGGCCTCACAGAAAACCGACGTGAAATAAGGCTGCGTTGTATTTCGTCGTGTGAATGAGGTTACCGGAGGCCCAATTTCATGAGAGTGAGGTTACACCCCCCCCCCCCCACCTTCCCCAATCTCCCCAATCCCTGAACCCTCAACAATCCTGAAACTCCTAATCCCCAAAAGACCGGTAACAGACTTGTAACGGCTCAGGGGTTCCAGGTGTCCATGAGCGACGCCGATTGCTTACCATCAGGTGATCAGTCTATTCGTTTACTGGCTTATCCCATAAAGAAAAAAACTTTACATATTTTCATGAGCCTACAACATTTTTATGAAGCCTAAATATTTCAAGTCACGCTATTTGAACACTGTAAACAGGCATTTCGCCACGTGAATCGTCTTAGTTGCCAAGTTAGAGTGAGCAAGCAATTTAAGTTGTTTGGGCTGCTCCCTAAGCCTTCCTCCCCGTTACGGCAATAAATCAAAAGTTATTACACCCGTCGGACTAAGTGGGGATTCAATTAGTAACACTGAAGTCACATTTGGTGTAGATTTACTTTGCACATGTCTGAAATGGGATATGAAATCTGATTCAGTCGACATCATATTTGTGCGTCAATTTAGTCCTTGGTAGAGATATTAAATAAGGTTCTAGATGTAAGTAATTTTTAGAATAATAATTGTATTTTCCAAATTATCCGATTTACTGTTATTATCCGGTTTATTGCTGAAGGGCTTACTATCAAGTAGGTAATAAATAGGTCTCCTAAGTTTTGATAGGACCTACCATTTTGACCGAAATAATAGTGAATTTTCTAAGCAAAATGAATTAATCACTCTTCAGTCACAAACCACAATGTGCTTAGGATATTTCATCATCATCAGCACCATCAGCCTGTTGTCATCCACAGCTACACATTAGCCTTTCTAATAGCGCGTCATTGAGTTCGATGTTTAACTCTTTGCATCCAATATGATCTATTCATCAATTATTTGGTCTCCTATAAAACCAAGTATACACTAAGCGACCAATGTCCTGTGATACGTGTCGCCAACGACGTCGGGTGAAGTAGCGCGACGTTGCCGGACTTTGATCAACATGTCTGACAACATCAACATCAACGTGTCGATCATCGATCACATCGTCGACGATGTCAGGCGACATCGGCCCCCTTCGCTCGACATGTCACCGATACATGTCTTGGGACATTTGTCCCCTAGTGTCCATGGCTTTTTTTAAGGGGGAAAATCATCCAATGTCTTCTCCCGCCCGGGTGAGGCGAGAGGGAGTGTCAGACTCTTACTGACTAAAAACCTTCCTTCAGTCCAGTCTTCCGCGGCAGTGTCATTGGCTTAAAGTATTTGGTCCTATCTAAAATATATCATTATTATTTCAGTACTTACCGACTAGTATTACCATTTCCTCAATATCTCTATTGTTTTCTAGACAATGAGCTGATGTTAAAACTGACCAACAGTTTATAATGACCCCACCACACATAGCGCCGTAATTAAGGAATTGTACTGCATGTGGGTATTTTGCCAAAGACACGGCCTTCCCACCAACAATATTTGGTCCAAAGTCCTTCTTTTTTAATCTATGTTTGGCTTCGCTGTATGAATTCACGGAGAAAAATGTTAACATAAAGAAAATTCGAAAATTCTTTTTCAGCATGTTTAGATTGCGTAGCTAGTTGGAAATGAATGCATAATTAAAAGAGTAAAGAACGCAACTGATTAGGTTTTTATGAGGCATATAAAGTTTTTAGTGCTAGAGCGGGGTTTTATGTGAAGTCATCGAGTTATGTAGGCATTTAATTTGGATTACAAAATGAAGGCGAACACTCATTATGTGATTTCTGAGATTAATGTGATTTAGAGCCGTTTTAAAATAGATACGCAAGCCCATCAAGGTATACGTAAAACAAAGAAGTTTGAAATTCAATTGCAAAAAGAAAATTTGAGTTTTCTTCATGTGCTTGTATCTGCAGGTTGCTGTCACGTTTATATTGTTATAGTATCGTTTATCTCGTGCACGTATGAAATGTTACTGAGATAAAAACTTACTTATAAGAAAATCTAAAAATTTTGATACTATTTGACGTAAGTATGAAGGTTCTCGTGTACCTTTAATATACTGTTGAATATAATCGTTTCATGAATGTTAGTATGCTACCTTAAATAACAGATAGTTTAATTTCGTAGGTACATACTGTTAGAAATAACTCTCTTTTTTCTAACAAATAAATTCGGCAAATAAAACCTAAAACCACTCCCCAAATAAATGCGGTTGGTTTAAAGTTAATAAAATTGGAGCACTTTCGACTAGGTATTGCGACCGCTGGCTTTACGCCAGGCTGACGCTATCGAGTGCTGGATATATTGAAACAGTTTATATACGTAATTTGGTAGGCAAACTAGTTCACATAATGCAATTTTGGTTTGGTTTGCTACCACGTACCTATTGTGGTGAATATAATCTAAAAAAAACTATCATAATCTTCGTGAATAGAAACGTAAATGCCTGTTCATCTTCGCAAAGCTAAAGTAATAGTTTCAAACCATAAGTACCTACAAACGAATACTCTATCAACAAACCAATCGAATACACTATCCTTAATCAAGAATAATAATTTTAGACTATACAATTAACTTCGAGCTAACAAAACCACCAAATCACAATACACGTATTTAAAGTCACAAATGTTTTTAAAATCATAAACAGAAAGAAATGTATTTACTTACCCGGCCACCGATATCCATACAGGCATTCTCACTTAGACAGTTTGCAAGCAAAGAGCATACGCTGAGCCTAGAACACTATCCCGTAAAAGCTTTCCCTCCAGCGTCGTTTGACGCGAACAATAAGAGTGCCTTACACGGAAATATGTAAATGTACTGAAATTCCCTTTGTAAATATCCTATGCCATACGAAAAACGCCTTTAACATGTAGGCAAAAAGCATACTTTTATAACAATGCTTTCTAGAAGTCCTTTCCAATTCGACTGTTTATGTTAATAAAAGTTTACCCAGCTTTTTCCAATACTTTTTCAGTAACTTAATTTTTGTAAATACAAAATTTTTGGGTCAAACTATTGCATTATTAATTTCCGACCATCATTAATCATTCCACCATTCATGTAAGACAATTAATCTTACGCCTTCAACTAAACGTCCCTAATTAGTTCGATAACACTTCCGTTTTAGTTTAATACAATGATTATCGTGGTTTTAGGATTTTATTCTACTTTATATATGCTGAGATCATCAATGAAAATTGTATTGCCATCTCTGAACGAAAGCCGAATATTTACGAAGGAGCCGGAAAGTTGTATTTTTGGTGAGGTGTAGGCACGGGATAGCATGGCGGGTCGGCCGCCCTCGTAGCGCGCGCTCAGTCGCCCATCGCCGGCCGCCGAAAGCGCCGCGCGCGGCCGCCCTACGCACTAAACATAACCTGCAACGGCCTACTGACATAAACATCAATCATTACTACTACCACAACACAAAATGACCATTTTAAACGATATTCTAAACATTAAACAATATGTGATGTGATATGAAATTTTATTCCCTTAAGTGTAAGTCACAGAATTTTGGCAAATGTAAGAGGAACGAAATCAAAACAAAGGTGTATATCGATTGTGTGTTTGCGGTTGTTTTAAAGTGATTTGGTATGTACGGTGTTTGATGTACTGCTACACAACTTAGATTTTAATTCATGAACTTACAAATAAACGAGTTTACAAAACCACTAAAGATAAATAATATCATAAAGAAATAACACCTGTTTGAATCAAAACGATTAAGTTATTGTCAGTATTTCACTCACTGATAATTTAATAAAACCAATACACATACAATACATTAATTTAATTAAAATAAATTACACACGCAACCAACATGTCACAAGGAAAATAATATTTTCATGAACATAATATGTATAAAAATTAATACAAACACTGAAAGTAATTAATCTTCAATTCTTTACGTAATAAAATAATAGTCCACGAAATAATACCTTTAGAATAAAACCTCTGTAGTCATGCTGTCTAGCGATAGTGTAGAAGCAAATTGACTGAAGATATAAAATTTGAGACGGGCAATAGAAAAATGTAATAAATGTCAGCCTGTCAAGTTATAAACCCCAAGCTTCCGCACCACTATATTTCTAAATAAATATATCTCGTCTATGTCAGTGCTATAAAAACCATAGCTGTATAATAAATCATTAGATTTATTGACATATTATATACATTTATTTTATACAATTTATTCATTTGTTTATGTGGTGGTTCGAGGTTTGAGAACAATAAGTAGGTATATGCAATTGTGGTATTTTTATTATGTTGTAATTTCATATAAATTATGTTTTAACGTGTTGCTTAGGTACAAGTACCCGATCTATGCGTACTCGATTAGTTGTGATCGATATTACTGACGAGACTATTTTTTTTTTATATTTATTCAAATCTGGAATGAAACTGTCAATGAAATGGGAAGTGTCAGATAGTATTTCGATATATTTATTGTTGATTTCCAGTTTTGTTACGAGATATTTTTGATCTTTGGCTGACCTAAATATTTAAAATAGACGCGGATAAATATATTTGGGATTGGCTATACTGAATATATTATTAGAATTGTTCGTTGACATTCAGATGAATGCTAAATCTATTGTTAGTAGCTGAATTTGTTTTTGTTTATTTAGGTTTTAACGACGCGACATGCCGGGTATAAAATACGGTACATATTCTAGTAACTAAAATTGAAAGTATGCTATGTGGCTTGTACCTAATTGACATTGTAGAGCATTGAAAATAATAAAAGTAATTCTGGGATTTCCTGAACAGGTCAAACCGTACGGTAAAAGAACAATATGTAGGTACAATATTTTCTTTGTACCTATTCGATAATTTCAAGTAAAAGAAATAATAGTAGTAGTAATTAACAGTAAATCCTGAATAAAATAGGTATTGATTAAAACTTTATTTAATTGCAATCAATTTAATTTAAGAGCACTTACTGTTTCGTCTGTAAGTGCTGTTAAATTAAATGACAGATCTATCCAAAATATTTGGACCGAAGTCTGGAGAGATCGATTCTGACATCAAGTCCATAAAACTTCAATCAATAACCTAGATTGATCCACATAATTCTACGATTAACATCAGTTAATAACTTCGAGCATTAATCATAGAATTAGCTGCAGAGGCGAGCATGGAACCCTAACAAAACTTAACTATTTCATATAGTACGAGGGAAACCTTTGAATAAAACAAATACCTAACTACCTATATACGTAGCTAGGCACGAAGTACAGGTGATCCGTTCGCACGTGGACTTGCTGAAACACGGTCCAAGTCGCAACGTGTCCACTACACGTGGCATTATGACGTAGTTAGTTGCCCTTCCAGTACAATATCCTGTTTCCCTTTTGTAATAAAAGTAAAAGTTTCCCGACGTAGGCTGCTTTTGTTAAAGTCAGACTTGCTTCTTTATTGTTATATCCTATGTTAAACGCCTTAGGAAAACTGTATTTAGGTATAAGGTAAATTTAGTTTTCCTAAGCCATTCATGTTCGGATAAAGAAAAGATAAGTAAAATGACATTTAAAGAGTAAAAGGATATTTACAAGGTATTATATACACGAAGCCAGGCTATTAAGTATGCAGGTAAATAGAAATAAGGATTCACTTAGTATAGAAACATCGGTTATTCAAAGGAAATTGTAATTAGGTATGTTTAATGTCCTTAAGTATTTTCTTCTTCGATCTCTTTGACTAGATTTTGGTATTACATTGTTCTCGCACAATCAAACCAACAAAACTGTGTAACTAGAGAATTGTATCGTAAACCTTATTGAAGAAGAGTAACCTATGGAGTTTCTTACTCGTTCTTCTCCATAGGAATCTATACTACTATTTTTTTATTGATTTTAAAAGTGTCTTCGTGATCTAATTGAAATAAATGATTTTGACTTTGACTTTGCCTTTATGTTTTTTAACGAAAGCCCGATTATATACACATTAGTTAAAAAAACCTATTAGTTAGCTAGCTAGTTTAGAATCACTTATTGCATATAAAATCTAATGCCTCAATAAAATACAGAGTACCTAAATACAAATGATAGGCTCTGTTATCGAGAAATCGCTTTAGCCTTTGATAAAACATTGCTTATTTATGAGAGGAAAGGTCACTGACCGGACAAAGTACCTGAAAATTCAGGTTATCAAGAAAAATAGGTTCTGCTTTTTATTAAGGTAGGTAAGTACTAAGTTTATTTATATTCTATTACAGAGGTTTTATTATCAGATTGTAGGTCTGTTTCGTGTTTTGTGACACATTAATAGTTTATATTTTGTTTGTTAAATTGTCGCTGTTGTAGTGCGACATATGAACACGATATATTACATCCGTTTCGGTACTCAAGTCAAGAAAAATATAATTAGTATTTTCAGTGAAATTCCCAATAACAGTAAGAAAACTGGAGTATGGTGCTTTGCAACCAACTTCTTAGACACTATAAGAAAAGTAGGTAACATAAATGGAAAAGTATTGTGATAGAAATGAAAATTATGCAAGAAGAATATAACGGAACACTACGAGCACTAGACGTCCGGACCAAGTTTTTAATAAATAACAACTAACTACGAGGCACTATCGCCGCAGTA